ACAATGGGAATAACTTGCGTAAGCGTTATTTCAATATTAACTGGATAAAGGATTGAATACGTATTTTGAAAGAATTCTTCAAATAAATTTACTATTTCAAGTTGGTTCCCTGAAGTTTTATGCTACTAGGAAATTCGCGAACTTTACGTTTTGAATTTACAAAAGTTTTAAGGATTCTTCTGAAAGTCATTTTTCATTATAGCCTACACCACATAGTGGTAAGGGTATTATGTCTTCGTGCATTTGTTTGCAATATGGAGAAGGAAATGAGATAGACCCATAGTTCCTTTTGGTGATCAGCATGCAATCACATTTTGAGTCGATTTATGCATGTCCGTCCGTTTGTCTGTCCATGTATTTTTGTAAGCAAAATGTTTATTCGATTGAGATGAAATTTTCTAAATAACATTTGTTTGGCTCACGGACGAACCCTATTGAATTTGGTGAACATAGGTCCAAATTTAGATATAGCAAAAGCGATTTAAGATATCTTGAAAGTTTAGGAAGTATTTCTGGAAAGATATAAATCCTTTTTTTACTAAATGTTCAATTCACTCTACCATTTGGCATCCTTTATATTCCGTATTTCACTGATTGCAGTCCCAATGATTTCATTTTTTGAGTTCTCTCATTGGACGTATGTCATATGAAAGAAGTAGGATGTACGTAGGTCACTCATTTCATTTTTAATATTATTCATTCAGAATTCATAATAATAAAAAATTTTCACTTCAGTATAATATGTCAAATTTTATTGGCATATTTTACCGCGATTTTTTGCCAGGACACCATTCCAAAATTGAATGAATTGTTAAAATCCGTCAAGCCGTTCTTTAGTTATAAGCGTAGTACCTAACATAACTTTCTTTAATATTGTGAACATAATTAATTATTTATTTTGTTTACAAAAAATCGATTGAATTCAATATGATAAACTGAAAAATATTTAAAATTTAATCGTTTAATAAAATTGACAAGAAAGAAAAGAAAAAGAATTGAAAAAGAAAAAAATCTTCACCTTGTTCATTGATTTCTTACAGCAGAAGTTTAAAGGTCCATGCCATGTTTGCCAATAGAATGTATTATCTATTATTTTAAAATTCCATTCCATTGAAATTTTTTTTTCGATTTTTCCGATTTGAGAATTTTTGAAATGAGATCTCTTTTTTCGTGATTTTTTAGCGATTATGAAAAAGTAATTATCTTTTAACTTTCGTGTGACCGCGTTAAATTATTTCGATATCATATATTCCGTTTCGCCATCACATAATTCCGTACTACACTTCCATGTAACCCGCCTTCAATTTCATTTCTCAAGAAATCAAGTCAATTTGAAAAATTGGTATTAATATTCGAATTCAAAAATCTATATATATAAAAATCAATTGTTGTTTGTTGGTAACGGAATCAGTTGAAAACGACTGGACCGATTTGCATAATTTTTTGTACAAACGTTCGTCATACCCCGAGTTAGGTTTTTAAAGAAAAAAATATTGACCACGCCTACTTTTACGCCCATTATCTTTTATTTATCTAAAATCTTTATATTTGCCAGATAATGAAGATATCGGTTTGAAAATTATTACACGAGATGCTGTTGACTTTCCCTCCAAACTTAGGAATTTATTTGGGCGCCAGGGAACTGACCACGCATACTTCTAATCTGTCTATATATATATATATATATAAGGAAGTTGTGTTTGTTACTACGCTTATAACTGAAGAACCGCTGATCTGATTTTAACGATTTACACAAATTCGGAATTGTCTCTTGGCAGAAAAGGATAAAATCCAAAAAAATCGCGTAAAAATGGGAAATTTTAAAATTTTCATTTTGACTTTTGAAATGTACAATAGTACTGTTTTATTTTGCATAATTTTTTCCATTTTGACTTACTTTTTTCTAATGTACATTTGTAGTGTTTTTTATATTTTATATTTGAATTCGAATATTAATACCAATTTTTCTAATTGACTTGATTTCTTGAAAAATGAAATTGAAGACGGGTTACATTGAAGTGTAATACCGAATTATGTGATGGCGAAACGGAATATATGATATCGGAATAATTTAACTCGGTCACACCAAAGTTAAAAAATAAATACTTTTTCAAAATCGCTAAAAAAATGGAATGGAATTTTAAAATAAGAGTGCATTCTATTGGCAGACATCGCATGGACCTTTAAACTTCTGCTGTAAAAAATCAATGAACAAGGTGAAGATTTTTTTCTTTTTCAATTGTTTTTCCTTTCTTTTTTCAATTTTATTAAACGATTGAATTTTAAATGATTTTTCAATTTATCATATTGAATTCAATTGATTTTTTGTAATTATTTTCACAATATTAAAGAAAGTTATGTTAGGTACTACGCTTATAACTAAAGAACGGCCTGACGGATTTTAACAATTCATACAATTTTGGAATGGTGTCCTGGCAAAAATCGCGGTAAAATATGCCAATAAAATTTGACATATTATAATGAAGTGAAAATTTTTTATTGTTTTGAACTCTGAATGAATAATATTAAAAATGAAATGAGTGACCTACGTACATCCTACTTCTTTCATATGACAATAATCCGTCCAATGAGAGAACTCAAAAAATGCAATCATTGGGACTTCAATCAGTGAAATACGGAATATAAAGGATGCCAAATGGTAGAGCGAATTGAACATTTAGTAAAAAAAGGATTTATATCTTTCCAGAAATACTTCCTAAACTTTCAAGATATCTTAAATCGCTTTTGCAGGTTATGATATGTGACCCTAGGTTAAGGGTACAGCCAGATTTCGAATATAGTTTACATAAATTCCATTCTTACGGTAATGGGTGTACAACAGTAATTATCTTTGACTATTCTGAAATCATTCTGTCCGTAATTATGAGGTGGACAAAACTAAATACCACACAGTACGGTACTCTAAACGTTGTTAACACAAATCCCAAATTACAGCTCATTTGAATGGAAAATGTTGCTAAGCTCTTTACAATACCAAAAATTGAGCTGAGTTTCCACATGAGGCTATTATAGATGTTCTAGATTCTAGATTTTTAAAACTCAATTAAAGCCTATGGCCGAAAAATAAGCCTATTCCAAATATCTAAAACCGACGGTGGGTGGGATTATCTATTATAATTTTTGCCATGAATGTTTATTGCTATTTAAAAATTGGTATGGAGTTATTTTACTTATATTAAAAAATGTGCCGCTTACATAATTCAGATCTGTGTTCTATTAGGCTTTAAAAAATATGCATTAAAGGCTAAAAGTACGGGCCGGCAAAGCGGACCGGGCCAGCTAGTAAAATATAAAAAGCACTACAAATGCACATTAGAAAAAAGTAAGTCAAAATGGAAAAAATTATGCAAAATAAAACATTACTATTGTACATTTCAAAAGTCAAAATTAAAATGTTAATAAGTTATTGGATTTTATCCTTTTAGAACTCAATTTTTAAATTTTGTCCCATTCAAAGTGTCGTTGTTTGACATTTGAATAATTCTTATTGTTTGCTAGTAGATGAGGATAGTAAAAATGGAGCGCTACACGAATGAACAACCCATTCTCATTATGAAAGCTGTAAAACTGCTGACTGTTTGCAAAGCAAATTTGTTATTGGTCAACAGTTGAACAGTTCTGGTTTTCTGATCGATGGTGATCAGAGTAACATCATTAGTGAACTTCGACATGTACGTTAGCATCGAAAAAGAATCGTGAAAGGGAGCTAAGGTTTTGCCCAGACTTCTCGTTTTTGGGTAGGCAGGTCTAGTGGAAGATGGTTTTACTTAATATTTGGGACCATCAATGCAACACCGAATAAAAAATAGAAATCGGTCCACTTTTTGATACATCCCCCAGATAACTAAGATTTGATGAATTTTGAAGGGGTTGACATTTTCTATTAAACTAAACTATAATTTATAATTTAGGGCTCTCCTATAGCATATCGCAATCCTTCACGAAAAATGATCGTAATCCCTCCACGTTTTTGTATCACCGCAATATAACAGTACCGCCGAAATGACTGAAAATCACCATTTTTAAAATTGAGAAATAATTCTGGCAAAAACCCGTTCACATGGTCCAGATTTTGGTAAAATCTCCCATAAAGTGGTACCGCTCGATTTAAGGTATTTGAGGTGTTTTAACTACAATTTCAACCATCATCGGGAGGTTTTTGAACTTGAATTAGAACTTTTAATGAATTTGTCAGAAACTAGATATTTGAAGTTCGAAACGGGTTTGTAATGCAATTGGTATCTTATTTTCGAAATTAGCCAACATTTACCTTTACTTTAACATAGTTGATGTTCTTAGGGAATTCAAAGCCAATAATATTTGTTTTTTGCAATGTGTCTCCTTAATTTGCGTTATTAATCGGATATTTGTTGTGCTACTCAGAAACAATATAGAATATTCAAATTCGATGTGTCGACAAATGGTTTTCTTTACGAATGGTATAGATTGCCAAATGTTCGAGATCGCCAAATTTTTTTAATTCTATATTTTAGAAATGTTGATTGAAATTAAATTTTTGTATGAACTTCTTAGTTTAAAGAAAATGAAAATTTTTATAGAAACAACTTTGATCTCTGTAACATCCGATATTTAGTCTCTTCTACCTTAATTATACTAAGCCAAAATGTTCATATTACATTTTATTCATCCTATTATTTTAGACAGCCTACTGTTGGCATCTCGGTGACATCTTTTGGTCAATATATACAATACCTTTTAATATTTGACATTTATGAGTTTCAAGTCTTCTTGCGACATCTACATGTGATGAAATTTATTTTTACGTTATGGACATCTTGTGGGTATTACACTAAACTACCCTATTCGCCGTATTGACTTTTTCGCCCTAAAGCTTATAACATTTCTCTTCGCGGACGATTATTTTTTCTGTTACTCTGTTAGCGATTACACTGAAAGCTCTGCAAGTTTTCGGATGGCAGTAAGGGGAAATGTTGGGTTTCTTGTCAAATGGATTTGGACGTTAATTAACAGACCATTGCTGCATACAAAATCAGTTGAATACGAGATAACAAACCTTAAACAGAGATATTACGGTACAAAATTTTTCTACAAAGCGAACGGCAAAATTATTGTTCTAATCTAGAAAAAAAGAAAAGAAAAAAATAATAGAAATAAATTATACCTACTAAAGATAGAAAAGAAAAATAGGAAACAACAATCTGAAGAGGTGCAAAAAATAATAAAAATATAAATAACAACAATTGCAAGCAAAAGCAATAAAAATATATAGATTTAACACTTAATAAGTGCAAAACAAAATTGAAAATTTTCTGTCGCATACCGGTTCAAAATAAAATTGCAAATAATTAAGGAAATTTCAAAATAGGAATTTTTTTTGTTTTCTTTTTTTACAAGTTTTTTGTTTATTTATTTCCTCATTACGCCGATAAAGGTACTGAAAATATTTCCCATTTATTCATATTTGGTCTTTTGAATTTTTAGCTTTATTTAATTTCGATTTGCAAGGAAATTTAGAAAATTGTGTGCAATATTCCATTCCATTTAATCTATAACAATAAAAAATTACATAATTTTTATTAATAAAAAATAAAGAAAACAACTACCAATCAATTCTTTTAATAGAAGCAAATTAAAGAAAAATCTACGCAGATACACACACAAAATAAAAACCAATTTAACAACAAAACATCCTCATAAAGGATTCTGTGGATACACATACCGTTGGAAAAACGAAACTCAGTACCCATCAGCGTATACTTGACACACACTCACACGCATCCAGCTGCCACTGTAACAACTGCAACATCCCCGTTAATTTATCTCCTATCGAAAAGAGTGAGAAAACTGCAAAGTGAGAGAGAGGGAACAGCTTTTCAACAAGAGAGTGAGAACTAAGTTCGCCAAAAGCACTGCAACATCTCTGTAACAATGGCTGATGTTATGAACAACGGTACTTCTCTCATGGATGCTGGAGTTCCTGTTCCAGCCCCGGCCCAAGCAACAGAGACTCCACTGCTAATTTTGGATGATACGCAAAATGTTAAGGAACAGCAACAACAGCAGCAAAAACAGGAACCCCAACAAATGCAGGAGCAACAAAAATCAATTCAAATACAGGATAATTTAAAGCAGGACCTCGAGAATAATAAGAAGGAACAGGATGTTAAGAAGGAACAAAATAATGTAGAGCAACAGCAGCAGCAATCCAAACAACCACCAAATTTGGATACCAAACCACAGGAACATCCACAACAACAAAAACAACAACAGGAAATAACTCAAAAACAAAATTCAGAAACAAAACAACAACAACAAAGTCAGCCACAACAATTGGAACTTAAAGGTAAGAATGGAATTATTTATAAGAATGTATATTTAAGTAAGTTTCAAATATAATTTGAAAAATAAAAATTGTGTATTCACTCCATGGATTCACTAAACTCAAATTTCGCAGGATCTAAGCAAGAACTACAAAACTATTTATCGGTCTAAAGATATCCGTCAGTTAAAATGAGATATAATCCATATTTTTATACCCTCCACCATAGTATGGAGGGTACATCAAGTTTGTCACTCCGTTTGTAACACCTGGAAATATACATTTTAGACCCCACAAAGTATATATATTCTTGATCAGCATAAAATTCTATGTCGATTTAGCGATGTCCGTCTATCCGTCTGTGGAAATCACTCTAGCTTCAGAACGAATTGAAGTAGATTGATAAAATTTTACTCAAATGTATATTATGTCTGCAGGGCTTTTGGTATTTGGTATAGCCCCCATATATCGGTACCTCCCGATACTCGGTATTTTGATGATTTTAGCGACATTATTTACTGGAATTGTTTCAAATTTGGTATTTGAAGTTCGTAATGGATACTAGAGTCTAAGACACAAAATTGTCTATGTAGGTCCATGTCATCGTATAGCCCCCATATAACGGTTCCTCCCTATATTCGGTATTTTGATGATTTTAGCGACATTATTCATCGAAATTGTTTCAAATATGGTATTTGAAGTTCGTAATGGATACTACAGCCTATAAAAGAAAATTGTCTGTGCAGGTCCACGTTTTCATATAGTCCCCATATAATAGCACCTCCCTATATTCGGTATTTTGATGATTTTAGAGACATTACTCACCGGAGTAGTTTCAAATTACGTATTTAGATTTCGTAATGGGAAGTACAGTCTGTGACAGAAAATTGTCTCTGCAGTTCCAGGTCGTCGTATAGGCCCCATATATCAGTACCTCCCTATATTCGGCATTTTGACGATTTTAGGTACAATACTCACCGAAATTGTTTGAGATGTCATGTTTGAAGCTCGTAATGGATGCTAAAGCCTGTGACAGAAAATTGTCTATGCAGATCGAGGTCTTCGTATAGTTCCGATATAACGGTACCTCCCTATATACGGTATTTTGATGCTTTTAGCTTTATTTACCGTTTATTTCAAGTTTCGAATTCGATTAAGGCAATGGCTTATAACAAACAACGCCTATGTAGGTCCACGTCGTATAGACCCCAATTCGGTATTTTTAATATTTTAACAGAATTTTTAGCGGATTATATTTTTTGAAAATTTTCAAATTGGTTCCAAATTGTGGAGGGTATTCAAAGTTCGGCCTGGGCGAACTTACTACTTTTTAACTTGATATAATTTGACTCATAATATTAAAGCATACATTTTTCGCGGGTATAATGGACCACTACTTTTGTGTGAAAAAATAGCAACATTTGCATTTTACCGAAACGCTGAAAATACACAAAAGTCTAACTTCTGGCTTTTTTATGCTGATTTCGTTGACAAATATAACCAAATATCATAGACAAGCAGATCAAAGAGATGAGTCTAAATTTAGAGATACAGATGGGCCTCTTGCTTTTGGAGACGATCCAAAATATTTAGGGGTTCAAATGACCCAAAAACAAAAAAAAAATCCTGATCACACATATAATCCAATAGTCATCCAAAATGCTAGAACTTTTCCCTGTCCTTAACGATTGAGGCCAATCGACACGTCTGAGAAGAGAGTTAAGGACAGGGAAGAGTTCTAGTATTTTGGATGACCACAATAAATAACTGCTAAGGGTAATTTCTGGGCAGTGTTCCGTGACATAATTTCAAAAGCGAAATCTTTCAAAATGGATTTGGACATAAGGGAGCTTCTAACATATTGTAGTGTAGTAGGGTATCACATGGTCGGCCCGGCAAGACTATACCCTTTGTTTACTTATTAAATTTTGTATTGGGGGGGTTCCTTTTGGTGGTGGGTTTGTGATAAGGACGTGGTTCTGGAAGTGGGTTCTACAAGTGTACGAAAAGTAGCAAATTGTAATACATTTACTACAATTTGGTATTCAGTGAACATATAGTGCTTGAGATTTGGCATTAGGATCGCTGTTCATGTGTAGCGCGGAAATAAGGTGGTGGACTTTTCGCTGACGGTGTGGCGGGTACTGGCCAGTTTATACATACGTTAGTCCATTTTTGAACTTGACCTGCCTACAGATAAAATGCGTATGTGTGTGGATTTTACATACTAGTCAGAGAGACATGGTTAAATTATTTAGATTTTTATGCTGAACAAGAAATACTTTGCAGTGTCTAACATGTGGTTAAAAGGGGGCTCTCTCTCTAAACCCTCGGTACTTGCCAGAACCTCTAACGAAGCTCCACAAACAGTGACGATATGTTGGTGAGCGGAGAAACAACCCGTTGATATTTAGGTTCTTGTTTGGTCAGACTTTCTAGTTTCTGGTTTGAAGGTTTAGTGTAGCTTCCACTACACGATAGAAAGTCAACAAGAACCTAAATAGAAATAGAAAAATTTAATCTTTTGTTATAGCGTAGGATATTGCAATTTTGAATCTTTCTGAAACATTCCTTGTTAAAATTTTTCTCTTTTTATCAAGGACTATAATCACATAAGGGTAACATAAAACTCCGCAAAACGTGGCAAATGGAAGTTATGAACATTAAAAAAAACATAATATCATAACGTCAAGATATTACACACACCCAAACAATTGAATTGGAAAATTTATTTAAATATCAAAGTGCATTAAATGCTGTAGGAGAGGGATGAAGTCGACGACCCAGACATTTACATACTTTTTCAATTGGTATGTGATAAGGATAACTGATGGAAGGAAATGGAAGCACATAAAATGATGATATTTATATACGTCATAATTTATGCTGGAACACTTGTGGGTGTGGGTGGCACGTTGCCTATCTGCCTGTCTGTTAGATGTTTAAGTGTTCGAAATTTTTTGCAAATGTAGACAATTTTGTTCCTTTTCGTTCCTTTTGCCGTCATAACAATTGCTTCAATTGTCGTTGCCATGAAATGACAATGTTAACGACTACAATCAGTAGGCGGCGAGGACATTAAGAGCTAGAAGAGCATCAAGACATTGTAATCAGATATTTGAAAATGTAAAACAAGCTATCTAAGAAACGAACATGTCCTTTGGTTGTGTCTTATTTTTGTTTTGTCTCAAAAATGTCTTAGACTTGTCTTTTTTTTTTTTTTATTCTGAATTCGAACAATTGTTCAATTGCGGACAATTGTTCGTGCTTTTTTCTAGAGATTTTTTCCTTTCACTCCATATATATTCTATTGTTATTTAAAGCACTTTGTTCAGAGCAAAGTGTAGAGTGGAGCAAGAAAAGTTGTAAACCTCGGTAGAATTAAGAAGTAAATTCGTGCTATTTTTTTATTATACATCTTACTGTCAATACATCTTGTGTCATAAATCTATTGGATATACCAAATCAGAGATGAGAGCTTGAATACGCTTTTTTATACTCTTCACCAAAGTGTGGATATTATATTAGAAATATAGATTTTTTATCCCACAAGTTAAATATATTCTTAATCAGTATAACATTCTATGTCGAGTTAGCTTTGTTCGTTCAGCAATTCCTCTATGGAAATTACTCTATCTTCCGAACGAAATGAAGTAGATTGATAACATTTTACTCAGATGTGTTTCAGGACTTTTGGTATTGAAAATGGGCTATATAGTTTCACGTTTTTTTGTTCCGACCGATTCAAGATTTTTTAGGGGTGTTTTAGTTCCAATTTTGAACCGAATTTGCTTTAAATTGGCAGCATGTGTACCCATTAGGTAAGAAACATCCTTGCATAGAACTGTTAATATAGGTCTGGGTTTTGATAAAATCTCCATATAAGTGTAACACCAGAGATTCGGTATTTTGATGATTTGTGTCACACTTTTCACCGAAAATAATTAGCATTTATAATTTGAAGTTCCTAATGGGTGTTAAATCCTTCGTATAGCCTTCATATAACGTATTTGAAGTAATGGGTACTAAAAATCATTATTTTGATGATATTACCGACATTATTGGATCTATATTGCCAATTCTCTTCCGGGGTAAAATACTCACAAGGAACTCCTTTTGTTTTACGACAATTCCATTAAAAAATTTGGCTAAAATCATCAACATACGGAACATCTGGGGGTACCATTGTATGGGGACTATACGATATCGTGGACCTACAGGGTGAGATGAAAAAACTGTAACTAACTTGAGACTGCTGTCACGTCTAAACTACTCGTCCGACAGCTGTTGAAATTATTTCAGTGACAGCTAATTATATTGTTTACAAGCGTACAAAAGCATTTTGGTGAGAATTTTCCAGAAAATAATTTCTTTGTGATGGAATTCAAGCGTGATAGTGTGATTTCTTTATATTTGATTGGAAAACCACAAGTGGCTATCGTTAGATGACTCTAGCATTTAAATGTGAATAAAACTTTTGTATTTCGTACCATCGCTCGTTACCGTGATACTGGTAGCATAGCCCGACGTCAAGTAAGTGGATGGAGGAAAACAGTTACATCAGCAGAAATGGTGCGAAAAGTAAAGAAGCGACTTGATCGAAATCCGCGTCGCAGTGGCCGAGCTGAACATATTGCAAATTCCATTCGGCAAATATTGAAAAATGAGCTCGGGATAAAGCCATTGAAATTCCAAAAAGTGCAAGAATTTATACCGCAACGGAAAGAAAATAGACTCAAAAGAGCTAAAGAGTTGCTTTGCTTGGCCGAAAGTGGTAAACTGCCGAATTTGGTTTTCTCCGATGAGAAAATATTCGTTGTCCAGCAGTTTGTAAACAAACAAAATGATCGTGTTTACTTGGCAAAGAGGTCAGCTGAAAATGTGCACCTTCGGTTGGCCACCAGAACTCAAGCGCCGGCCATTATGATGATGTGGGCCGTCATAACAGCCGATGGTCGCTCACCGCTCGTATTAATCGACCCTGGCCTCAGAAAAAATGCCGAATATTATCGCGAATACTCTGG